GGAACGGCGGGCACTGCCACAGGAACTGCGGGCACTGCCACAGGAGCTGCGGGCACTGCCACAGGAGCTGCGGGCACTGCCACAGGAACGGCGGGCACTGCCACAGGAACTGCGGGCACTGCCACCTCCCCTGCCACCACTGCCACCTCCCCTTCCACCTCTCTGGCATTTACTATTTAAATAAAATTTATATTTATACTAATTTATATTAAAATAAAACAATACTATTTATATTATAATAATTTGTATTATATTTACATTTTAATAACATATATTATTAATATAATATATAATATAATATATATTAAATATTATATATAATATAATTATATTATATATAATATATTATAATATTCATAATATATTCATTATATAAACACAATTTATATATTATTTACATTTTTATATTACACAATAACTATAGAGTATATTGTATTATTCTATATCACACTGTATTATGTATTATATTGTACATTGTTATAAGTATTATGTATTGTATTATATTATTATCTATATGTATTATACTATGTATGTGTATTATACTATGTATGTGTATATCATGTTTCGTGTATTATATCTTATTGTATATTGTACAAATATATTGTATAAATAAATATAAATAAATGTATTGTACGTTGTATAAAATGTATTGTAATGTAAAATTTATTGTTTATTGTGTATTTTATTATTATATTTTATTATATACATTGTATATAATTATACAGTATATTGTATTATATATTACACTGTATTATATATTGTACATTGTTACAAGTATTATGTATTGTATTATATTATCTATATGTATTATACTATGTATGTGTATTATACTATGTATATGTATACTACCTATATGTATTATACTATGTATATGTATACCATGTTTTATCTATTATATTGTATATTGTACAAATATACTGTATAAATAAATATAAATAAATGTTTTGTATGTTATATAAAATGTATTGTAATGTAAAATGTATTGTGTAAAGATATTATATTGTTAAATACTTGTTTATTTGTGTACTATTAATTATTTGTGTTATATGTTATTATTATTATTATTATATATGATATTAGATTTATATTGTATTTGTATTGCTTGGCTTTTTGGGTAGCTTTCCAAACTTCACCACTGGCAAAAAGCCCTTTTGGGTCACTCTTTGTCCTTCTCAGACATGAACTGGCCAGCATCCCACGTCTCCTCCCAGGAACTCCAGCTCCCAGGACCTCACCCAGCAGGGAAACGAGGGAGGGGAAAAGAGGAGGGAGGGATGAACGAGTTTTGCCAAGCCGAGGGAGCCGAGAGTTCTGAAAATCCCAACCCTACCCATGGGCAGCACCGCCCTAAACCTCCCCGCAGACTGAGCCTGAAAAAACAAATTAATCATCCTGCAACGTCCCCAGCAAAATGCCCATAAAATTTCATTAATGCTCATGACAGTTCATAAAAATGATCAGTAGGGCTGGCAACTCCAAAATAAGGTGGAAATAAGTATGAAGATGTTTTTACTGTAAGCCTGCTTTGTCATTCAGCTCTCTGCAAGCCCATAAATAAAAACAAGATGGAATTGCAGCACCCCGAGAAACGGGGAGGAGAGAGATCCCTCAAGAGTGGGACTTGTCAGGGACACACCAAGAGAGGGACGGGGGCTGGCAGGGCTCCTTAAACCCCCAAATTCCCCTCGTTTCCTCCACCCACAGCTGATGAAACATTCAAAATCCCTGGGCTGAGCAGCTTTAATGGGTGCAGGGGCAGGAGGGGAGGGAGGATCCCCTGGAGTCCCTCACAGCACCCAGGGGTGTCCAGGGCACTCCAAACCATCCCAGCCCCACGGAGGGTTTGTTCTTTGTGGGTCGGTTCTTCCTTTGAGGATTATGTGAGCTGAAGGGTACCAGGAATTCCTCCCAAGGCCCAGCAACACACACAGTTTATCCCAAATCCTTCAGGATACCCTACAAAAAGGTCCACTTCCCCCTCCCATGACAGCTGCACCAGCACACTGGGGATAAACATGGCCAGAATTACTCTTAATAAACTTTCCACTTTTCTTGCAGGAATCTAAACACTCTTCTCACCTTTATTTGAAATGCAATTTCAGTTTTAAATGCAAGGTAGAGCTGGTTTAGCAGCTCCCATTCCCCTTCAGCATCTGAATCTCTGCTAGACCATAAATGGTCTCCTTTCCCTGCCCCATCCCTGCGGCCAAATAAATCTTCCTGGGTGAGTGCAAGAGCAGAAAGTGCTGCTAATGAAACGATGATGACATCATTAATTCAGATTGAGTCATACTTTTCATCACTCCAGATTTTCTCCTGGTTTGGCCTTATCCCTGTAGGAAAGGGAAGAGCCACTCAGGTACCTCTGCTGTGCCCGATTCCTAAAAGCCCAGGGTGAGGACTGAAATCTTCCCCTGAGCAGCCCGTGCCCAAACCCAGGGCAGGAACGATGTGGATGGGCTGAATTCAGCCTGATATTAAATAAATGTCCTTTTCCTGCCACTGCCAGCCGTGGCTGACACATCTGTGGTGTCCCACTGGGCACTTCTGAAGCCTAGAGCCAAACTGTCCTCGGAGTCCCCAGGAGCTGTGGAACAGTCCTGCAGGTCCTGATGGGCAGAATTCATCTTGTTCTGCTCAGCAGAGTCCCCAGGAGCT